TGGCTGGAGGACCAGGGACACCTGGGAGGCTGGAATTTGGGTTACAGATCACAGGCCAGGCACGGCTGCAGGCACTGACTGTGTGAGCTTTATCGGCAGGACACGGCGCCTAGTTCAACAAAGGCTGGTTCTCAACAGAGTGGACCTGCCATTCGTTGAGAAAACTGCCATCTAGCTGATGGTACACACACTTGAATAATTTAAGCAAGTGGCCTGCTTAGTACTGAAGCTCCCATTCACTGAGCACCCGTGGTGACAGATGCTTACTTGTGTCACCTAATTCTCCTAATAGCCTTGGAAGGTATTCATCTGTTATCTTCACTTACAGAGATGCAAACTCAGATTTGGAAGAAATAAGTAACTCAGTCAAGCTCTTGGTAGGGAGAGTGTGGAGAGCCGTGAATCCAATGCAGCAGCATTTCATCTGAGTCTCATACCCATTCTAGCAGGTGGGTGGGTAGACACAGGAACTATTGCTCCCACTGTGGTTTTGAGCGAACTGAGGCCCAGAGAAGTGATGTGACTTGCTAAATTCTTTGCAGTGTCGTTATCCTGCCTACAAGTCCATACTTTCTCCAGCATTTACATCATATCTTGTGATATTTACTTCATATCTTGTAGGGATCTCAGAATTCAGTGGTGATCTTAAGCGAATGAAATTATAGTAAACTCTCCTGGCAGGGTATGAGCATGGTAATTCACCAACTGTTTCATAATGGAGGCCAGAAACTTAAATCTCACTTAGGGAATTTATTTAAGATCTGTGCTCAGTGTGGAAACAATTAGCTAACAGACAGAAAATAAATTCTCTGATTACTCAGGGACAGAATAGTGGCTTGTTGCAAAGCCGCTCCTGGATGGGAGGGCGAGATGGCTAGACCATCTGGCATCCCATTGGCTGCTGGGCTTGGCTCTGCGTGGTGGGTCGAGCTGCATCATCTTCCTTCCTCTCCGCCCCTTGAGCCCCGTCCTAATTTCCACACCGGATCGGAGGCCCCAACCCCGATGGGCAGAAACCTCTGTAACTGCCGAGGGTATTTAAGTAGGAAGACTCTCTTGGATACGGAACCCTTGGAAATCTGTTTCTAAGAACCAATATTACGGTTGTTTGAACTGTTCTTTCTAAGTAGGGACCATGAGCTTAGCGAAGAAAATGTTAAGTGAAGTGAAAAAAACTGACGCTTTTCAGACTCTGCGGGTGGGAATTTAAAATAACACAACTGCTTTGGAGAACTTTTTCTTTCAAAGTTAAAATCACACCGACTCTGTTACTCTTTTACTCCTTGGCACCTATCTAGGAAAACATGTTCACAAAAAGAATTGCAGAAGAATGTTCATAGCGGTTTTATTTATAATCACTCCTCAAACTGGAAACAACTCAAATGCCCACCAGTGGTCGAACGGATAAACAAATTTGTGTTAGGGTAATACAATAAAACAATACTAAGCAATAAAAAACTACTCTTTTTTGTGTGTGTGTGGCTTTGTAACAATATAGGCGAATCTCAAAAGTATTTTGTTGATAATGTAAAGTTCTAGAATAGGAAATACTAATCTATGGTAACAGAATCAGAATAGTGAGCACAGCTTTGGAGGGGAAGGCATTGCCTGGAAAAATCAAAGAAACGTTCTTTGGTGGCCACCTCCCCATCCATCCTTGCGACTGTTTGCGTGCCCCACCCCCCTGCCCAAGGCTCAGCCGCAGCTGCAGGCTCCTGGCCTGTAAGGAGCTCAGCGGCCGCAGCACAGACGCAAATTGCCCCTTGGTTTCACCTCGCCCCATCCACGTCTGGTTTGCTTTTCAATTTCAACAGCACACAGTTAATATTAACCTGCTCCAAAGGGTCAGATAGGTTTCTAACTTTGTCAGAAACAAAGCACACACCTCAGAGTTCAAAGCACGTTCAACGTCAAGAACCAAGTAGGCGGAAGACTCCCCAGCACTAAAGGGACCAGGAGGGTCTAGGGGGTCCTCCCTAGTAGGGGACTAGGGAATTTTTTTCTTCTTGTGGAACCACATTTGTCTAAGAAGCCGGGCCCTGGCTGCTCTGGATTGACCCGTCATTCTCTTCGCCCAGATTAAGAAGACACATCGTTCGACAAGTACCCCACAGCCACCTGAATAAGACCGACATCTCCTTACAGCCTCGTCCTGCAACACCCAGCAAGCTTGCTGGGACTGCCCTGTGGAGCCCAGGGTCAGCTCCAGGGTTGGGCCCGACCGGAACCACCCTGATGCTGCAGGACCCCCTGCCTGTGCCCGCTGTGCCCCGTTGGGATTCATTCCCTTAGGCTAGAGCAGCGAAGGCTGACACTAAAGTGTGTCACCGTGGAAGGCAGGATGTTCCTTAGTAGCTCAGTGAAGGGATCAGATTCAAAAGGTAGCCGGGATGGCAATTAATTCAAACTTGGGAATCTAATGTGAGAACTTCCTGCGTTCTACCACCAGCACCTTACAAGTATTAACTCATTTACTCTCATTAATGTGGGCGGGGTGGGGGGCAGTTAGGAAGCAACTGAGGCACAGAGAAATTGAGGAGCCCGTGGAAGTTAGTAAGGGGCTGCAGGGTGGAGCTCAGACGTTACGTGCCCATTTGTATCCTTTGTGCCACACTGTCGTGTCTCCCAGAAGGGAAGGGTGTGGTCCAGGATTAGAAAATGGCTAGAGAGAGTCTGGATCAGGGGACAGCAAACAGCCAGGTGACAGGAGAGCTCGCCCTATTGGCTGACTCTGGAGGGGTGAAAATTGCTGTGGGAAAGGGAGGTATTTCCAGATCCCAGATTATCCAATTTGAAAGCATTTCTGAGGTAATAGTGCCAGCTAGTGGCAGAATATCAGGTAGCAATTACCCTCCAAGCAAAGATGAAATGAGCCTTGAGAAGGGCGAGTGTAACAAATGAGCAGCGAAGTTGGGATTTTTTTCCCCCCACGTACAGATCCTAAAACACAGGCACAACCCACTGCCGTGTCCCTGGAGTAGCCTTCAGTTTCTACACGCCACCGAACGAATGGCGGCTACAGGCTCGGTCCTAATTCTAGTCCTGCTCATCACGGCCACAACACGGGCAAGTTCACGCACTTCATTTTCTCTTCTGAAAAATGGGGAAAATAATACCTACCCATACGGGCGTTGTAAGGATCAAGAGAGATAATGGATGCAACATGCCAGACCCATTGCAAGCATTTCACCAATGTTAGTTGCTGTTGCAATACTAAAGGGCTGTGACAAGCGCTGGCACAGAAACACAGAGGGAAGGACCTGAACACATTAGACATTACCTAGTGACCTTTAGTGAACCCCACAGGATTGTTTTTGGGAAATTTGCTATTCACATGCAGTCTTACATTTGCTTTTCCCAGGTTGCTGCCTGCATTACAGAAACCATCGACAATATGAAAAGGCAGCCTACCGAATGGGAGGAGATACTCGCCAACAACCCATCTGTTAAGGGGTTAATGGCCGCAGCATGGAAGGAATTCATACAACTTAACACCAAAAAGAAAAAAAAAACCTGGTTAAAAAATAAGCAGACCTGAATAGACATTTCTCCAAAGAGGACATGCAGATGACCAACAGATGCGTGTAAAGATGGACGCATGTATAGATGGTCAACATCACTGATAGCCAGTGAGATGCAAATTAAAAACACAACACCTTACACCTGTCAGAATGGCTATTATCAATAAGCCAAGAATGTGGAGAAAAGGGAACCCTTGTGCACTGTTGGTGGGAATGCAGATTGGTGCAGCCACTGTGGGAAACAGGAGGGAGTTTCCTCAAAAATAGAACTACCATATGATCCAGCGATTTCACTTCTGGGTATTTATCAAAAGAAGCCTAAAACACTAATTTCAAAAGATACATGCACCCCCATTTTCACTGAAGCATTATTCACAATAACCAAGATATGGAAGCAACCTACGTGTCCATCAGTAATGGATAAGGGGAAATGGTGCATATGTACAATGGATATTCAGCCACAAAAAAAGAGTGATATCTTGCCATTTGTGACCACGTGGATGGACCTAGAGAGTGTTCTGCTAAATGAAATGTCAGAGAAAGACGAATACCATATGAGTTCATTTATATGTAGAATCTAAAACTCAAAATAAACAAACAGAAACAAACCCGTAGATACAGAGAAAAATTCATGGTTGCCAGATGGGAGGGGCATTGGGGAGTGGCTAAAATGTAAAGGGATTGTTAAGAAATACAAACTGCCAGTTATAAAAATAGCCATGGGGATGTAAAGTACAGTGTAGGGAATATAAACAATAATATTCCCCAATAATTGGTGTCAGATGGATATTAGACTTATCAGGGTGATAACCTTGCAAGTTATATAAATGTCTAATCACTATGTTGTGCACGTGAAACTAATATGATGTCGATTGTAATTATAAAATAAATTACTATATTTAAAAAACATGATTTTTCACTTGAAGCCGTAAACATCTTGTAATGCACTCCCTGGAAGGTGCCCAGTGGTCCTTGGCTACCCACCCCCTCCGGCTTCCTCAGTGAGGCCTTTGTCTTATAGCACTTATAATTTGAATATTAAAAAAAAATAAGTGGTCTTTCTGCCCCTCTATTCCATCTCTGTCAGGCCAGAAGGGCTCTGCACAGCACGCCCCCCAGCACATCCTGGCTGGGTGCCCTCTGTTCTCAGCCCACCAGCTCCCGTGACCCTCCTCACCCATCCCCACACCTCCCCTGACAGTCTGTCCTGGGCAGCACAGGGGCTTTTAATCCTCTGCCTGCAATCACCCTCTTCCTCCCTCTAATCGTCTTGGATGAATTGGAAAAATACAGGTTTGGAAGCAAAGAAGTAGCTATTTTATTTGGAAGTTTCATTTTGTAATGACCTTCACTTAAATTTGAGGTAACTCTGCAAAATACAAACAAGTTCGTTTCCAAATTAACCTTGCTCTAGCCTAGTTGCTCATTTACTTCCAAAGGTGAATATTGCTTCCATTAACAGATAACTTTTGGCCTTGAACCTCTCCTGTGCTTGTGGGGTGTGGGTAGTGACTTATTCTTTCCTTCCATAGCCAGCAGTGAGCAGGCTTCCAGTGGCTGCCCTGAGGTACCGCATTGGAGAGGTCTGGAGGACGTTTAAATCAGGTTTGTAGTTGGGTGACTTCTGTAGGCTTGGAACTGGGAAAGGAGACAAAGTGGCAGGTGGGGCAAGAACAGAGGCCAGAGATTGTGTGAGGTATCGTGGCTGCTGACTGAGAATTTACCAGGTGGCAAAATGGGGTCATGTGGACAGGACAGTGAAGGACCAGCCAAGGAAGGCTTCACTTCCAGATGTTTCAGACAGAGGAGGTTGTGCTTAGTTCAGTCAAGTCTTAGAACAACCTGGTAGAATACTGACCCTTAGGAACATGGATCAAAATATGTTCACTTGAAAGAGTTCTGGAAAATCTGAAAGGTGCAGTTCCTGTCCTCAGGGATGTACTTTATACCTTGACTTCTGCTTCCTGGCCATCGACAGAGGAAAACAGGGAGGTGGCTGCTGCCCCTGAAAGGCAAAAAAGTTAATGTTTCACAAACAATTGAGCAGAGGTAGCTTCTCTGGTGGAATAAGGTTGTTTGGAACTAGGTACCAATTCCTTCCCATGCAGAGCATTTTGGGACTGAGATTGGGTCAAGTTGAATCTATAGGTCAAGCTCTGGAGAACAACCCAGAAACAGTAATCAAGTCATGATGGTGGTAGTGTTGTTGACAGAAGAATGTCCAAACTTGTAGAGAATTTTTTTTTTTATTAAATGTCTATTTGAGCCAAACAGATGATATGCCTGGAAACAAGATCTCAAGAGACTGAGAAAAATGCTTCTCAGAATGGTCATTTACAGCATTTTTTATGCACTTAGAGTTCAGGAGGAACATGTATGGAAGATTACATGAAGGCAGGAGACAGTGAGGTGGGGATGAGGTTATAGAATAGTTAGCAACATTATCTGTTTATTTCTGAAAAGAGACATTCCAAAGGGGTGTTGACCTCAATGCACAGAAACAGTGGACAGGTCTTGCTGAAGGCAAAGGCAAACTTTTTACTAAAGAGCTTACATGCGTCGGGAATGGCTAACCAACATGACCTTCCCGGTTAGGAATTTATGATCAGATCACCCTGTGAGGTTACTTTCCGTAGAATCTCTTCTTCATCCACATTATAAAGACAGACAAATGGATCAATAAAATGAACAGAGAGTCTAGAAATGGGGTCAAAGGAAAAATAACTTTTTGTGATCTACCTCCTAACAGGAAATGAAACTAACACAGTCTTTACTCTTAATCACTAGGCTATTCTGCATTTTCCGAGATCCTTTGATTTTTATAAGATCTCTATAAGACAGACAGTCATGTCCTCATTTCACAGAGAGCTGAGACTTGGAGTTTGTCTAGGCTATGTAAAGCAGAACATCATCTGTGGGGCACCATTTAAAAGATGATGGAAATATCCCCAAATTCCCATGTAACTCTTCCCAGAAAAGGATTCCTGCTATAGTCTACATCATAGCAACCAACAGAAAATGTGCAATTGAAATCTGTCTTCTCCTTTAGCTGTAAGTTTCTTGAGAGCAGACATTAATATCGTCTAAGTTTTTGTTTAGATGTATCTGCAGCTATGTCTCCTGGAGGACATGGCCACTGACCGCTGCAGCAGGAGAAAAGAGAGGGGGTCACCTATCTGCTCCAATGGGCCCAGAATTAACACACGTCACTTCCACTCCTAGTGACCACAACTAACCATATAATCCTGCTTGTCTTTAAGCAACTGGGGAATATCAGAAAGCACATGATAAGCAGGAAATGCCTCTGCGTTCCTGGATGAGTGCATACTCAGTAAACCTTGTTGGGTCAACTCATGAGGAAATTGTGAGGGTTAAAATTATACTATCCCAGAATTATTTAAATTACTTGAAGTACCTTTCGACTTCCAAAGCCTCAGATGAAAATGCATATGTCAAGAATGCAAATGGATTCACCATTTATTGATGATCTACTCTATACAAGGTACTGTTCTAGACACTCTAGGCTGTAGTGGTTAGTCTTCATGAAGGCCCCATTGGATAGGCATTATTCTTCTTTCACAAATCACTTGTTCATGGAACCATGGGGAGCAAGTAGCAGAGCTGTGGTTTGAGCCCATGTCTCTCAAGTTACAAAACTTACAAGAGTATATCTTCTTGACTCCGTGGGCCTCCTCAGCTACTAATGCTTCATGGACTCAGAAATAAAATCTGAAGTAGTTGCTGTAGTGAGAGGTGCCAGGACAAAGGCAAAGAGAGACAGAGCTCCATCCCATAGCTCACTCTCTCCACCCCACCTGCCTGCCCTTTCTCCCTTCTCCTGCTGCCTCCCATGACTGCCCCTGTTAGAGAGCACTATACCTGCAAGACCCAAAGTCAGAAGTGAAAGAATGGAGCCCAGAGTTTGTTCTGAACACTTGTGTCATTTCTGATTGACACTCTCCATCCTTAATGAGCAAATGAAGAGGCTGGGACAGTGATGTCCACACCTACTTCTTTCCCAATGGCCTAGATTTTGTGGGAACTGACCAAGCTCACTTATGCAGCTCTTCCAACCCTACAGAACAGAGACCTAAATGTCTCCTAGGGCACCGCTCACTCTCCATAGAGGCTCAGATACATCCAAAACAAGTCAGAAGGGTTCCTGGTCAGGCTTTGCCATTCTCATCCTATGAGTTTGGATTATTCACTTGGGTTCTCTGGGTTTTAATTTTTTCATCTATAAAATGGGTCTCAGGTACACCTACCCTCTGGTCGCCCTTTATCTCACCGGGTTATTGTGATCATCCAATGGAACCCTAGATGGAGGAGTGCTTTGTAGACTGATTTAAATGTGTCATTGTTTATGACCAGCTAAACAATGAAAGCTTTAAAATCTCTCACGGAGTCCTGGCTTGTTAAGGGAAGGGAGAAAATCTGCACACTTTAAATGCCAACTCTGTCACTAAACCACACGTGGCTGCACACGTTTGGTTCTTTTCATGATGCTTAAGGGTCAGGCCACGGGAGTCAGAACACGTTACTCAATGTGTGAAGATGGGCAAAGCATTTTAATCTCGCTGGACTTCGGGTTTCTCATCTGTGTGGTGTGGAGCATATTTGTGTTTGGGGTTACCGTAAGGGTTGAAACATGAATGCATATAAAACAATTTACACAGCGCTTGATAAATGGCTTCAATTTTATTGTCATTATTATTAGTAAGGAGCTATCCTGCTGTCTCTAGGGGTCTTTGTGTAATCAAATTATGCCACCGCTCAGTAGAATAAAGAAATCCCTACTCTCTTATCCAAACTCCATGTGAGCATTCAGGTCCATGCCTCCCAGCAGGCCCTGCGCAGCTTCCACACCCCATAGAAAGCACACAATTCACAACATGACTGTGTCCCAAACCTCTACTCAGAAGCCTTGTGTTTGGAATTCAGTACACATTTTCCCATAGAAAGAATGCTTTTAAAATAAAGACTGGGTCCCCAGGTGACTGAAAATACCCAGAATTCCTAAAAAGATACCAACATGAATCATATGATTCATATGAAATGTTCAAAGGAAAACAACTTGGGCGACCTTGGAAGGGGGACAAAAGGGGGAAAACTGGGACATCTATAATAGCATAATAGGATAAACAATAAAACGTTTAAATTAAAAAGAGGAAACTTTGCTTTTGAGTAAATACAAAAAATAAAATAAAATAAAAATCTGGTTTTAAAAAAAACTTGTTATCTAGCCTAAATGCGTTACCTCAAACAGCACTATTGCAAAAGCAAAGTCTACCTTGAGATTCCTTCCAGCCCCAGTCCACGTCCTTGTCCCTTTCCTTGGTCAAGAAAAACAATTTGAAACTCAGCTTGTAAGCACCAGATACCGCTGAATGTCCTTGCTATTAGATATTAGATTACTTATCACTGGTTTGTTAGTTGTACCTCATCAATTATTTACCATGAGGCAGAAAGCCTAAACAGATTGAATGAGCTTAAGTGAGCTAAAGTTCTTAGTTCTCAAGAGACTTTTATTCTTTTCTCTCCTTTCTCTTCCTCTTGGGCAGTTGAGGTAGAGGAGAAAAGAAGAACAGAGATCAAATAAAATGGGAATACCTGCAAACCATTAGATAACTTGGATCCTCCCTTTAATATCTGGTGCCTTTAAGTCTTGCATGATCAAACTGGAATATGTAAAATCATATAGAGCTAAGTCTCCCTCCCAAACTTAGGGAAAGCTTTGAGCAACACGGTTGTCATGCTCTTCAACTATCAGCTTTGTACTGAACCTCTAATAAAAATAATGGACCCGGTACTATACTAAGCCTTACAAATGCTAAGGAAAGAAAAATGCACTGTAACTGTATTTTCAGCCTATGAAATTCTCTTAAATTTGATATCAGTAATTTATGCAAACCAACTATTTGGCTGTGCCCTGTAAAATTGAAATTGGAGAATGTCTATCTTTAGAGGTTAGCAGAAGACACAATTCTGGGCTTTCCTCTGTAATAATTTACTGCCTTGTTCTCTTTAAGTGCCGAGAGAGAGAGAGAGAGAGAGAGAGAGAGAGAGAGAGGCACTATTATTTTCTGTCTACTTCCCAGGGAAGTAGATATAAAAGGAAATAGCAGATAGAAGTATAATAAAACGGTGTTTGTTATATATAAGGAAGCTAGATTATTTCATTTCCAAGCAGGTTTCAGATCATATAATTCACACTATTCCAGGCAAGTAATTCTCAGTGAGTCTGAGCCATGTGTTTCTTGGATTAGACACAAGCATTGTTGAGTTTCTATGATAGAAATCTGCAGAAGCATTTCTGTGGAAGTTTGCTGAGACATTGGAAATTGTGTAAACATAAGAAATGCTCATACCTGTAGAGAATTTTGTAAGAATTTATCTGAGCCAAACTGACTATGTGTGTCAGGGAGCAAGTTTTCAAATACTCCAGAGAGGAAGTTTTGCAGTTTATTTTATGCATTTGAAATTAAAGAGGGAACTTAATTACATGAAGATGGGAGAAGGCAAGGCAGGGATTGGATAATAGGATGTTCAACTCTTGGGGATGGTTAGCTCTCAGAAGAGGTGATCTGAAAGGGAGGTTCATGCATTAAAAGGAGGGTTTTTATTATTAAACTTATTGGGGTGATATTAGTTAATAGGATTGGGCTTGAAAGGGGACATTTTAATGATGAGTTAACTCAGATGCACAGAAAAAATGGGCATGATTAGGATTAGCTTAACACCAAGATAAACCTTTTACTAAAGAAATTGTATGACTTGGACATGACTACCCACCATGACCTGCCCAGCTAGGAATTTATAATCACATCACGCTATGAGGTTATTTTCCATAGAAACCCTTTTTTCATTCCACCATTATAATCTGGTAGAGAAATCTCATCCAAAAGGACAGAGAAGGATGATAGACAGGGGAATGTCAAATGACAGTAATGCACGTTTATGAACAGCCACTTGGTGCTACACACTGTCCTAGTGCCTGGGGATGCAAAATGCGTTGGGGGTCCTGGGTTCAGTGATTCACTAGGAAGGCAGCATGTCTTTGAGGCTATGCGTTATTACAGTGAAAGAGTGTACAGCAAAATTAGCAAAGAGAAAAGGCTCATAGAGCAAAATCTGAAGGAAACCAGGTATAAGGTTCCAGAGTCTCTCCTCGTGGAACTGCACAGGATGCACTTAATTCCTGCAGCAACGAATGGTGGCAACACCTGTGAAATGTCTCTGCCAGGGAAGTTCATTGCAGAGACTCAGTGCCCACGGTGGTTTGAGTGTTGGGGTTGGTCATATGGACATTCTCTGTCTAACCCATACCAAAATTCTAGACTCTCTGAGGGAAAGCAGATGTTCAGCATAAACCACATTGTTTGTACAAACAGTTGAGACACAGCAAGTCAGTCTTATCAGGAAATGGTAGGAACCTCCCTGAAATCCAAGTTCCCAGACTCCAGCCAAAGGCCAACCTTGCAAGCAGGCCTTTTGCGGGATAGCTTCCCCAGGTCTGCTGTGGTAACCGTTCTTTCTTTCTTTCTTTCTTTCTTTTTTTTTTTTTTTTTTTTTGCACATGGTGGTTAAAATATGATTGCAATGCAGTTTGATAAACTCAATGATTAATTAATTCACTTGACTAAAGTTACTGAGCCCTTAAAGCATCGAATAGGAAAGAAGATAAATTAGACATGGTGGTTGTACTTTGTTAAACTCAACTCAGCACCTCAGTAGCTCCCTGCCAACCCACCGACAAGGTGTGCTACCTAGAAAAAGCTCTGTGGCTGTGTTCCACATTCCCCTCCTCACCTGCATCTGGAACCCACTGCCCTTCCCAGGGGCTCTGTTCTCTGCCACATAACTCCTTTCTCCTTAGTTCCCCAGGTAGGTGCTTGAGCTACTTCCTTCTCTGATTTGACTTGATTCTGACCCAGCCCTTGATGCCCTCAGACCAGTTCTGCCCCATCCCTACCCCCTACCAACACTTCCAGCAGCCCACAATTCACCTGGCCTCCTTGGCCCCCTCATCCATTAGAGGAGCTGCCCCATTTGTGTTTGAAGCCCTAGTTCCTGGGGCTCATCCTCATTTCTCAGTGATGTCAAAATCACACAGTTTCTACTCGGAGCCTTTGGCCCAATTGAACACTGCTGCCAACTGCTTGGAGATGCCCAGATAGCAATTATAGGTTTATCAGCCCTTCCTAGCAGAACCCGCTCACGCAGGAGCACTACATGCCATGACTCTCTGCCACCCGAGCCTTCACCTTCTCTGTGGTTACTGTCCCCTCTGCCCTACCCCTTTAGGCAGGGACTCATCCCCAAACCCTGCTCTCTTTCCTATTTCAAAAGGACCAGGCTCCAGGTTTACAAGGTTCAGAGTGGTGATGGGAAAAACAGGAGGTAATATGTTCTCTCGGTCTCAAAATTAGCAACATGTTCAATGACCCAACCAAGGAATTGAAAAAAGTCAGCTTCCTCCTTGATACCAGCCCACAGGTCCAAGCAATTTAGACATCAGTCCCTAGAAACTCCCAGATATTAGTATCAGTTCATCCTCGATTTTCCTACCCTGATGGGTCTCCTCCCCAAAGTATGAAACACCCCTCTGACACATTCAGAGTAACTCAGATAACCAGGAAAAACCACCAAGAAATGAAACTGATGAGACAGGACCAGGTCCCGGGAAGCTAGGATGCCATGAGCACCTGAAGGATGTGATCAGACTCACATTTTAGAAAGGTCCTGGGGAGCTACAGGGAGACAAGATGTAGAGTGAATCTGGAGGCTAAGAGACAAAGATAAGACATGTTTTGAAGTAATCTTGTAAGATGTGTCAAGGCCTCAACGAGATCTGGAGCAGTGGGCTTAGAGATGAGAGGACAGACATGAGGGATATTTAGAAGAGCAAGTAATTGGGAGTTGGGGGCAGCAGGGAAGGGGGTGCAGTGCGCATGACTCCCTGCATGCTGACTGGGGCCATGCCTTTGCCAGTACCTCCGCTGAGATAAAGAACAGAGGGGTTAATGATAATGATGACCCCTTCACCATCTCTTCCCCATCTGAGGTGTTCTTTACAGGGTTTTGTTGTTTTTTGGTTTTCCTTTGAAGGTCCAGAAATGTCCATGGTATGTTTGACAGACTTTGAGGCCCGTGCACGGGAGCTTCTGTCCAAGTCAACTTGGGATTATATTGAAGGAGCAGCTGGTGAAGGCTTCACCAGGGATGACAACATCACAGCATTTAAAAAGTTTGATCTTCTGTATCCTTTCTGTTGTTAAACTCAGGTGCACTGGTTCCGTGCTCCTTGGAAGGGCCCATTCCTGGTTTCTGCCATCAAAAAACACAGAAGACTCAGACATAATAGTGGTTTTTGTGTTGTTATGTTGGGTTTTGGGTTTTTTTTTGTTTTGTTTTGTTTTTGTTTTTGAGGGGTAGAAGACAGGTGGCTAGGGAGAGAATGGTTGGAGAGAGAATTGATCTTAGTGCCTCCACAGAACTAGCACAAATGAGTTACCTCCTCCCCTACCTACTCACCCCCCACGTTTCAGCAACTTGGCCACCTGGGAAGATCAGACAAGAGTCTAAAGGTCACCAGTCACCTGGGCAGGGTGGAAGTTCCTGAGTTCTTAAGCTTCTGGCTTGGAAGAGAGAGGTTTGAAAGGGCAGAGGACTCAAGGTGGGAGGAGACATGGAGCCTCAAGGACACTTAGCGATGAAGCAAGACAGATTCCAGGCAGAGGGTTGGACTAGAGCGGCAGGGGCAGAGCACAAGTCAGCAAACAGCAGCCCACAGGCCAGGCGAGCCCACCACCATATTTTTGGATGGTGAACAAGCCAAAGATGGTTTCCCCCCCTCATAAAACAGTTGGAAAACCCCAAAAGAAGATTAATACATAAAAATGACATGAAATTCAAATTTCAGTGTCTATAAAGAAAGTTTTGTTAGAACACAGCTATACTCAGTCTATGGCTGCTTTTACATTTCAACAGCAGGGCTGAGTAATTGTGACAAAGACAGTATGGTCCACAGAGCCTTAAATATCAGCAGTCTGGCCTCTTCTAGAAAGCTGCTGACCCCTGTGATAGAGCGGTCAGGAACGAACTGACGAACAGGGCACAAGGTGAACACTAGGTCTGGTTTTCATGCTTGTTTAGCTCTGCACTCAGCACTTTAGTTGCTTCCCTTCATTCTGTCTTCACAAGACTATTAGGAACTTTGGATTATTCCTCCCATTCCAGCGATAAAGTAACTGGGCCTTTGTGACCAAGTTTGCACAATCAGTATTTCCAGACAAATCTTCCTAAATATGTGTACAGGAATAATAATATTTTGTGAAAGACAAGCATTTTTGGACCCCGAGGCTTAGTATCTATTGGCTTCAAAATGTTTTCTCTAGCTGTCATCTGTAAATTTTCCTACCTTCCTAAAACAGTATTTAAGTCGAACCTTTAAACGAGTTGGCCTCTGGCAAAGAGAACACCATGATCACTTGCCGGCTTTGTGCTCTTTCAGTGACCTTTTCTTAATCTAGAGACTTATTCTAGCTTGAGAAGGAAGATCCTGAAACTCTTTGCTTCTTACTCCTTCCCTTTCTGGTCCTTGTTCTGATGAATCAGCAGGGTACCCACGTGCTGAGGGTCCGATCTTGGTGGCAGGGTTCAGAGACAGACCTCGGAGGGAGCAAGGCAGGGGCTGGTGGGAGCACAGGGCCACTGGGAGTACAGAGGGGGAGGGTTCCAGTGGAAAAGGGGTTGGGAGAGGCTTCCTGGAGAAGCGGAGCCCCCAGTTGGTCCATGCGGCCCGTTCAGCTACCCCCCAATGAACCCTGCCAGAGGTCTCTGGGGACCCAGTCTGGTCTCAACCTGCACCAGGACATGGGAGGGCCCAGCTCCAGGCCGCCCCTCCCAGCTGGAGAGTAATCCCACCAATAGAAAATCTCTTTGTTATCCATCACAGAATCCGCCTCCGTCCCCGGTACCTGAAAGACGTGTCGCAGGTGGACACGCGGACCACAATCCAAGGGGAGGAGATCAGTGCCCCCATTGGCATCTCCCCTACGGGCTTCCACCGCCTCGCCTGGCCGGACGGGGAGATGAGCACAGCCAGAGGTGAGAGCCAGCCGCGCCCGAGGCCCGCTTCCCGCGGCCCCGCTGAGCGCAGGAGGCGTCCTTCCCGCAGGGCGGGCAGCACCGGCGTGTCTCCAGAGCAGGGGCTTAGGGACAGCACAGGGCTGGGATTCAGGAGGGCCGGAAAAGGAATGTTCAACATGGTGCTTGCATAACGTTTCGCCTAAGGTTCAGAAAATACCCATTTTCCATAATAAGGAATGGCTAGGATGGGAGAGAGGCCACTGATGAATAGGAGGGTGCCAAGCCCCTCCAAGCCATCTGGCAGAACAGGGCGTTGGCCCCTCTGACACACACTGTCTGTGGGAAAGGGATGCTTCCTGCGTCCCGGAGAGGGTGGGGGCAGGGCTCTCTCTGACCCCTCATAGGGCTGAATGGCGAGTCTCTGAATTTAGGATGAGAAGAGAGTTACGACATTAGGTGCTAACACATCGCCCTGGCAGGTGTTTTGCCCAAATGTCCCATCTTCTTTTTGCTCAATTGACTTCATCATCTTATCTGACAGTTTCTTATAGGGTTATGCCTCCTTCCTCGTTGCCTTTACTCTCTACCCCACCCCCCATCCCACCAAAAATAAAGAGAAGAAAAAGGAAGGGGTGAAGCAGGGCTAGAGATGTTCTTGTGACTCCTTTGTAATCCTCACCCTAGGCCTAATCTGTTTTCTGAGAGTTTCCTTGGGTCTTTTCCTTTGACTCCGTGCTATAGGAAGCAATGAATCCAGGGATTCTAGAGCTGAAAGTGACATCCATCTGGGTTAGGAACCAAGCCTAGCCAGGTTGAAATATGAACATCCTTTGTGAATATGACGACTTTACTAAATCTCCATGGTTAAATGTGTTGTGTTGTGGGGCTCATGAGTAGGGTATCTTCTGTTGACATTAGGAATGAAAAATATTTTTGATTAGGTTCAAATACTCTGCCCATGCGTTGTAGAATGGTAGTGACATTAACCTGTTGCAGAATCCAGCTGAACATACATAAAGTGGAAAATGAGACCTACATGATGCGGCAGCAATGTCAGCATCGTTGTCACCATCATCGTCACTGTCACTAGCATTTATACAGTATATCACTTCGTAATTTCAAAAAATGCTTCAGTATCTAGCATCTTACTTAATCCCCCAACAACCCTGTAAGATGTATTATTATTTTCTCCAATTTGTAGATAAGGAAAATGAGATCCAAGACCACACAGCTAAGTGGTAGACATAACAATTTTCTAACTTCAGATATCATGCTTTTTCTACCACAAACCTAAGCTTTTGCTCCCTTTTGCTTCATTAACAAGTCCACAAGGAGCCCAGTTTCCTATCTGACAACTGCATTGTGTCCAACACAGGCTAGGAAATATTTTCACATGGAGCACAGGGTTTATAAGACAGGTTACAGAGGGGGGCCCACACAGCTTTATGCCTCACGCATCTATCCCTGCCCCACAGAGAAGCTGAAGGAAGTCACGCTTTATCTGCACTTCCACGGCAAGTTGGCCAGAGGCAATGCAGACTCCTGGGGCTTCTGACCCTAGTCTAGAACACATCTGCCCTCCAACCTGAGTGGTGCCATTTGCTTTGCAGCTGCCCAAGCAGCCGGCATCTGCTACATCACCAGCTCATATGCCAGCTGTAACCTTGAGGACATCATTGCTACTGCCCCCAGAGGCTTCCGGTGGTTCCAACTCTACGTGCGGACAGATCGGCAGCTAAGCAAACAGCTGATCCAGAAAGCAGAATCCTTGGGTTTCAGAGCTCTGGTAATCACCGTGGATGTGCCCAAACTTGGCAACAGGCGACATGACATTCGAAACCAATTGAACTTGAAGACAAATTTATTGCTAAAGGATCTTCACTCACTTACAGAGGTAGGAAAGATACCAGGTCAAATGGGCAGGCATTAGTGAAGGCAAATTTCCTTCCTTGATTCCTCCCTTTGTTCTTTCCACAAGAATTCACTGAGTGACTACCCTGTGCCAAACACTGGGGATATAGCCATTCAAAAATCAGCTCTGGTCCCTGAGACAAACAGAATATAGGACAGAATGTTCCCACTCCAGGAGCTGTCCAATCTGTCACCAGAAGTGTTCTGGCCAGGGCTGAGTGCTGAGAAATAGGAAAGCTATAGGAAGGATTTTGCATGGATGAGAGAGTAAACTAAACAAGTTCTTCTAGCATTTTCTACTTTATGGCACATTTAGAAAATGATCATTTTGGTTGGCACATGTTGCACTGCATGGCAGCTATAGGGATGTGCCGCTGCCAGGGAACTCCGCAGAGAGCGCAGCGCTCCCTGAAACCTGAGGGAAACTGGCTGGGGCCAGCTGAGGAGGGAGCAGGGCTCTGAAACCCGCAGAGCCCATCCGGGGGTTGTCACGGATGAGGGAGAATAAACGCAAAACCTTGCAAACACTTCTCTGTTTGCTGGGAGAGCCGACAGGGCACTTCCCTCCCACTGGAGAAGGCCGTGGCACATCCCTCTAATGGGAAAGGCCCCGTTGCCCTTTGTTTCAAGGCTTTTATTGAAAAACTTATCAGTGGACTAGACAACAGGAATGCATACATTTACATTAGCATATTAAGTTTCACAGAGAACAGATACCTTTAAGAAAACAAGTGACAGGAATTCACTGATTTACATGGGTCCGAAAGGAGAGCAGTCTAAACAAAAGAGAATGAAGACAAGGGCAACCACCTTAATGATAAAGGGTAAGGGGTGCAAATAATGTGAAGGCCCTTCGCAGCATGAGCTGACCAGAGATCTGAGGGAGGAACACACTCTAAAGAATTTACTTTTAGGCCTGATTACCCTGGCAACCGCCAGGTCTGATTTAGGGCTGTTTTTCCTGCACTGTTTCAAGCCTGAGCCAGGCGGGATGAGGGAACCACCAAGACATAAGGAGACTGCTTCTCGGCTGCAGTGAGGACTCTGGCCATGTCCAAGCCAAGCCAAGCCAAGCCAAGCCAAGAAGTGTGGGGGCCGTTTTGCCCCTTCTCCGTGTCCCCCAATTTCTTATCTGCTGCCTCAATCGGTCAAGGCCTGTCTTAGGTTGCCCTTCCCCCGAGCAGTCTTACCTGTCCTTGGCAAGGTCCATCACAAGGCAAAGCAGAGGGCATAGCCCCTGTGCAGGGGAACAAGTCAAGTCGCCTCAGGAGCCTGTTCCTCCAAGGCCTCCTGATTATTTCAGCCTTGAGGCCCTCTAGCCTGTTGGCAGGGTTACAGCTCCTGAGACCAAGCCGGACATCTTCCAACAGGCACACTTAGATAAACTGACCTCCTGATGGGGATGCTCCCAACCAGATCAGCCGTAGAGTATAACCAGCCCAGTTCCCACCCTGCTGCCCTGAGAAATGAGAGGACAATATCTCCACACACTGGGGACTCGTCCATGGAGCACCAGGGTGCTACGACACACTTGCTTGGAATCTCTGAGCTAGAGGACTGCAAAGGGCACTTCGCCCATTAAACTCCTACAGTCAGATGCGGCGGAGTGCCCCAAAGAGAGAAGTCACAGTAAAGCTGGGATTCCTAGGCTACAGTAGTAATAACGATACCAGACTTTTCAGTCAATGGGCCTCTGTGATATCCAGCCAAGAGACACTCAACAGTTCTACTCATTAAGTCATATGCAACTTGGCCTTGAGGTTTTCAGGAATCCTTGTCTCAGATTCCAGAAATGTACAGATGTTTAGTGCCCATGGTGTGTCAAGGGTCGATACTGCAGAATATCTGATTTAGGATTATTGAAGTATTGCTTAATTCTTATTACCCTGTGCGTATCTCAACCCTAACACATTACATTGGCCTATATAAGATAAATGCTTTTACTTACCCATTTCACTGATTAAACTCTGAGTTCTTTCAATGTAGGGACTGTGTCTTAGCTGTTTTCATGTCCCCAGATCTTGGTGTAAAGATTGAACAGGGACACAATTAATGGTTAATAAATAAGAAAGTGAAGTAGAAATTATTTTTGTTAAGAAAAGGAACCAGAATTAGGGTTGATTTTTGTAGCTTGTCTTTTCAAGCTTATGAACGTTTCTTTTCACTTATCATTCACTGGCTCTCTAAATGTGCCTCGTCTTTGGAATGGATCAAGCAGTGTCAAAGGAGTTGAGGACTAAGGTTCTCCCTTATTCCCCACAGAGAAATTCAACGCCTCATCTGCAGATGTTTCCCATTGACTCCTCCTTCTGCTGGGATGATCTTCCCTGGGTCCAGAGCATAACTCAATTGCCCATCATTCTTAAAGGGATCTTGACAAAAGAGGATGCAGAGTTAGCCTTGGAGCACAAAGTCCATGGCATCATCGTTTCCAACCATGGCGGAAGGCAGCTTGATGACGTTCCTGCTTCTGTAAGTAGGCTGACCCCAGAGGGGGTGTTTGTGAGTGGGGTATGTGTCTGTGTTGGTGAGTGGGTGGTGTGTGTATGTCTACAGCAAGGTATTCTTCCCTTTGGCGCACACTGCCCTCTTTCTTACCACATATGTTACCACGCATGTAAATTTTAAGGACTTTTAATCATTAATAATAGCTGAGTGTGTGCCAGCCTATTTTTACACACTTTATTTTTATCATCTCTAAAGCTTACAACAGTCCTGCAAGACAGGGATCCTGGAGTTCACTGATGTTAAGTAACTTTTCCAGTTAACACAGTTAGTAAGTAATTCAAGTGGGTTTGAGTTTGATATTAGAAATGTTCCAAAAGCACTAGGTCTCCAGCCTTCTGGAAGAGAAGTGTTCATCTGGAAGGTCACCTGTCTGCATGGAACGGAATCTCATTTTTTCTCATATGATAAGGAATAGTGCGTCACTTAAGCTAATAAATAACCATCTTTCACAATACAACTTTAACATATCCTATGAATCCTTTGGTAAAAATTTATGACACTGTAATTTTTCCCATAATGTGAATTTATGTTCATTAGAGATAAGAGTTGAGGTGGGGTAGAAATGAAGAAGAGAGAGGCAGGGAAAGAATCTTTAAATGAGAATTAATTGTTGATTTATTTTCATGAAGATATATGTTTTCAAAATATACATTTTCATGAAGCTTATTTCAAGACTCTTCTATTATTGCTTGACTCATTTTAAAAAAGAAAAGTGGACTTTTTTATATTAAGTTTTTTTTTGGTCTTTTTATTATATGTGTAAAACATGTGCACTGTAGTTAAATTATAAAATATATAAAAGCAAAAAAGATAAAAAGTACCCCTATTTTTATCATTATTATGTCAATATTTTGGGAACTGTGTTTATCAACTTTATATACAAACATAACATTTTAGTTTTGAAAAATGATACATAATATTTTGTAATTTTTTTTCTTTTTACTTATAAGTATACTAAGGGCATCATATTATTTCAATATATATGTTGCTCTTAATTTTAATGATGTGCAGTATGAATGGACAATTTATTATTTTTAAATTAACTTTTCAGTTACAGTTGACATATAATATTCTATCAGTTTCAGGTGCACAGCATAGTGGTAAGACCTTTATGTACCTTATGAAGTGATCGCCCAATAAGTCCAGTGCCCACCGGGCACCACACATAGTTATTACAATATTACTGACTGTATTCCCTATGCTGTCCTCTATATCCCTGTGACTGCTTTTATAACTCGCGATTTGTACTTCTGAATCATGAAAGGACGATTTATACAACACACTTCCTATTACTGAACATGTGGATTTCTTCTAATGCTCCGCTGTTGTAGACAATGCATCAGTGACCATCCTCAAAGCTTTAGCACGTCCTCAGTGACATTGGTAAGACAAACTCCAGGAAACGCAAAAGCCGCTGGCTTGGAATCCCGGCCTTCACCCAGGTGGAGGGGACACCTCTGTCCTGCGAGGGCCTAAGAGTCAAAATGGAAACCCTCAGGTCACACGTGTCTCTCCTTCCAGATTGACGCCTTAGCGGAAGTGGTGGCTGCTGTGAAAGGGAGACTGGAAGTGTACCTGGACGGTGGGGTCCGATCCGGCAACGACGTGCTCAAGGCTCTTGCCCTCGGGGCCAAGTGCGTTTTCTTGGGGAGACCAATCCTGTGGGGTCTTGCCTGCAAGGTGAGACCAAAATGAAAACCCACCAGGAGATACCACGTTTCTCATTCATTCGCACGCTTTTCTGTGGTTTAGTCCCCAAGCTTAACCATGTTTTGAGGTGCCACAGATTCCTGAAGGACAGTCAGGCCCAGCCGTATCACCACGCTTCCTCTGCAGCTGTCGCAAATTTTCGGGAGCTCTCACCCCTTCCTTCCTTGTTGGCGTTTCTTTATTCCCAGCGTAGCCCTGACTCCACAGATACCGCCACTCTCCCGCCCACATCTCTGCGCACACCTAGAATTTTTACTTGGCTCCTGGTCACAGTGTTCCTTCCTGTCTCTCCCTCCTTCAGGGCGAGCAAGGTGTTGAGGAAGTTTTGAACATTTTAAAAGACGAGTTCCACACCTCCATGGCCCTTACAGGTGCGTGTGTCCCATCCTTTTCCTCATTTGGAGCTGAAAACAGGGGGCCTAAGGAACAGGAGTTGGTAGCTCCTCCTTCCAGCCGCCTCTCCCCAGCCCAGGGGTGACAGGAGAGACATCCAGGGCAAAATGTCCCACAAAGATTCATCTTTGATACATCTTAATCATGAAAGGACGATTTATATAACAAACTTCCTGCCATTGAACATCTGGACTGTTTTGAAGTTTCCACTGTGGTAAACAAGGCCTCAGTGACCATCCTTAAAGCTTTAGCACATTCTCAATGACTTCCGTAAAACAAACTCCAGGAAATTTAAAGCCACCCACGTGGGACTCCCTGGTTCTCACCCACAGGGAGGGGGCACCCCTGTCCCATGATTAAGATGTACAAAAGCAAATGCAATTTCCCATTATGGGAAAGAGGGTTCCAGGTCACTCTGAATTGTTCAGATGACATCAGGCTCAAGAATGTGGTTCTGAGTGTCATTTTAAAATAGTATTCACAGAATGAAGAGTTGAGAAATGATGTCAAAGAGGAAGAGTGGAGAGGAAGGGGAGAGATATAGAAACAGGAGGAGAGGAGGGGAGGAGGAGGAGCATCCTCCCGTGGAACCACAGACAACAAGACAGGCGTGAATGGCTCGAAGTTACATGAATTTCAGTCAAAAATGAAATTATTGTGAAGTGGTGCTCATAAAAACTTCAAAGGTTTTAGAAAAGCCCAGAATCACAATCATCCCATAAAATAGTGGTTCTCAACTAATGATATGAACGTTCCTCTTAAGTGGCCTTTAGTTTGGGTTTTTAGTTTGTATTTTCTAATTCTAAGTGACTCTATTGTAAATGACCCAAAGTCACCAAGCCCCTCCCATGAGGGAGAGGAGGGCACCATCGTGAACGGATGGCACATTGGTGTCTTTTGGCCCTGGGCTGGGGGCGGGGTGATCTTCACTTGGGTGTCCGTGGGTTCCCGGAGATTGAGATGACTTGGGGTCCTGTTCCCCAAATATTTTCTCCATTCTTGTAAAATGATGTCTAAACCCCTTTTAAAAATAGCCTGATTGGGGAATTCACAATAATAAAGCTTCATTATTCGCCCAAAAGTTAACACATAATTACCCTTGAAGTGTAAATGGTGCTGGGAACTCTCTGAGATAGAGAGTAGAGCACCCTTTTTTAAAGAGTTAGGGAAAAGAAGAAAAAAAAAGCAGCATTATGAGCATTTTTATGCCTGAGATTTCATACTGGTCTTCCTTCTAATTGTTCTACAATAAGAATGTATTGTTTTAAATGTATTTGAAAAAAGAAAAAAAGCGGTGCTCACAACCAAACATGGGCAGGGAAGGTGGTTCAGGGAGGAAGAGAAAGAATAAGAAACCCAGGAGGAAGGGCACCCCTGGGCCTCCTTTGATTGAGAGATGCTGCCCCAGGGAAGACCCCAGACTAGTCCATGGAGAGAGGGGATCTCAGGCGTGGGGGTCTGTGCTCTTGACAGAACTCTGCAACATACAAAACCGTAACGTGAAGCTGCAGAGATTGGGTCACTCCCAAGCCCTTCCCCACACCGCGTGTGAAGACACCTGACACAAAACCAGTGCCTAGGGCTGGTCAGTCCCTGTGACTTCTCTCTCCTAATTCCCCTGGAAGTGCGCGCTGTTTCCCCTTCTACCCCTGTGCCCTCATCGCCCTGGGCGGAGACCCCTATGAACACTATTGCTGAAAACAAAGTAAGTTTAAAAGTTAATGTTCTTCCAACCGTGAGACCAATTTCTGAAGTTTTTATATTTATAAAAAGGTTAAAATTATGATTTGTCTTGAAAAAACAAAAAATCCACATACAAATGCTATCAGCACAAGGCCACACAGACCTCACCAGGTTGTCATCCCTTATCAGCGGATGGACGTCCAAAGCTGGAGAGAATTTTTATAAAAATGTATTTGAGCCAAACAGAGGGTATGCCAGGGCACAAGAGAGATAACTGTTCCAGCAGAGGTAAATGTCTCCTAGAAGGCCACTTCGGCAGTGTCAACGTAAGAAATGTTCAAACCTGTAGAGAATTTTATTTGAACCGAACTGACAACAACTACCGGGAAGCTAAGACGGAGAAAATGCTCTAAAAATGGCCGTTTTGCCACTTATTTTATACATCAGAATCAAAGGGGAAAGACGTAATGGGGTTACATGAAATTCGTTGGTGCTGGATTAGGGAAGCAGGAGAAATGAAAGGGGGGAAAATCTCTGAGATTAGATAAAAAGTAAAAGGAATAGGCACCTACTTCTTTTACATTGGTGGGTATAGGATAGTTGACAGTTAATAATTACAAGGATGAGGGGATTTGTGGTCGCTGCTCTGGTGTGGTGGCTGTGCTCTGAGAGGACTGGAGAAAAGCAATCACTTTGACCTTCCAAAGGTATGTTATCAGGTGTATTATTGTATATGCCAAAAAGACAACAGACAGTCTCGGTTAAGGTCAAGAGTGACTTTTGGTAGGCGACATTCCTGGCCTAGGACATGGCTGCCTGCCATAAACTGCCTTTCGTAAGAAAGTTTTCGTTGCAGACCATCCTTTGTGGTTACTTTTCGGAGTTTGCAACGTCCACCATGCAGGCCTCCCCTGAGCTCGTCAGGTTTAGTGTGTGGCCCCTTCTTCGTTCACAGCAGCTTCTTCTATGGATTTGGAATTACGGAGGGAAGATGACACGAAGGTGGGAGAAATCAAGGCAGGCACTGGATTATGAAATGGTTTATAACACTATCTGCTCTCTTGAGGGTGCTTACTTCCGAAAAGAGGCGTGGGGGCATTTCAAAGGTGCATTGACCGAGATGCACAGAAACAAGGGACAGGCCTCGCCTAAGGCGAAGATGAATCTTTTACTAAAGAAGTTACATGCTGGGGTGTGACTATGCACCACGGTCTGCCCAGTCAGGAATTTATAACCAGATCACTCTGTGAGATTACTTTCCATAACTCCTTTTTTCGTCCACAGTTTAAATATTATTTTTCGTACAATGCATAACTACACTTTTTTTTTTTTTGGCATCTCTGTGCTCCTTGAGCAGGTCTGCCTGCTTTGAAGTCCCACTATGCTCTGCCCCATGAAAACCCACAGCTCTCAAGATCATTGTCAATACTGAGGAGAGCCACCTGTGGCTCCAAATACTTGCTTTTGCTGAATGAGCTCACTTCACGGGTTATTTATGCCCACTGTTTCTGTCCATTGCCATCATCCCAGGCATGAAGGTCAACTCTTCCCTCTGTTTCCATTTTTAGGAAAAGGTCTTCTTTTCCGTTATACTTTTGTGAGTAATGCATTTTGCTGAAGTTATGTTTTGGGAGGTGAAGATGCATACATCAGAGATGTGGGAAGAACTTCCAGGGAAACACTACATGTCTGTTATTGAATCCTAGCGGCCTCCTCATCACCGGGGGCATCTCGCTGTCTCCCTGAGCCCACTGTTCTCCAGCCCATACGTCACTGCAGCTCCCCTTTCTCCCTCCTCTTCTTACTTCTTATCTGAAGTTACTCTCCCCAGTCCTTGTGCCTAATCTCAGCCACAGTCTTAAGTTTGCCTTTTAATTAAGACCTTTTACTAGAGAAGGGGGGTTCATTTTTCAGAACTTCTCCTTAGAAGGCAGTTGCTATATGAAATACTCACCCTATGTCCCCTGCTATCCATGAGTCATTTCCTCCTTGACAGATGCGTCCTACATCCCTGAGCCTTATCGAGAGGGAGATAAAGGTCAAGGGTATCTACTACACACATAAATTGCTTTAAAAAACATGAAACTATTGCTTGTACATTTTTGCCATGCCACTTTGACATGGCTGTCAAAAGAAGACCCAAGCACAGGCTCCCCCAAGTTCCCAACACAATCAGAATGACACAATTCATTCAGGATACATAGTATCTCCTGAGGGTGAGCACCGGGGCCACGCCAGGGCACGCTCCCATTAGGTCGTCCGTACCCATCTTCGTGTGCATTTCTGGTGCTATGGGGAAAGGAGCTTTTTATTTATTTAAAAAAAATTTTTTTTTTTGCATTTACACTAATTTATTTTTTATTGGGGTTTTTTTTTTTTTTTCATTACCACTTAGTCCCCTTAGTTTTACTGTTTGTGACACCATGGAGAACACTAGGCTAAGTGAAATAAGCCAATCAGAGAAAGACAAGTACCACATGCTTTCACTCCATGTGGAATCTCATGAACAAACTCAATTAACAAGCAAAACAGAGACAGACTCACGGAGAGAGAGCCAGCTGACAGCTGAGTTTGGGGGCAGGGATTGAGCAAAAAGGAAAAAGGACTCATGGACAAAGAAAGCAGCTTTTAAACTGTGTTGCTTTTCAGGCTGCCGGTCGGTTGCTGAGATCAGTCGGGACCTGATCCAGGTCTCCAAGCTGTAAAGGACAAGCTGATGATGGGACGGCTGAGGTGGCCGCAGAGGGAAGACACAGCCAGAGCGTGGCTTGTGAGGCTGTCCCCCCTCTGCCTCGCCCCGGCCCAGCCACAGCTCCGCCACCTCACCCCTGTGCTGAATTCGGACCCCGAACCCTCACCTTCCTCAAACGTGCCCTGCTCTTGTCTGGCCCACGGCTTTTTACACACGATTCTCTTCCCTGAAATCCCCCTGTGAATGAAGAGGGTGGATCGATCATGACTGAAGAGCTAGTGGATGACATTTTTGCACATCCTCTCTATCTCTAGGAAACATCTGTGGGCATTTGCATTCTGAACAGAAGAGCTATATGTATAAAATATCCCCCAACAAAAATCATACTCCTGTCTGTAGATACAAGGGAAAGAATACAGTTTGAGACATAGGCTTTGAAGCCATACAGACAAGGGATTAACAGCCAGGACTGCTTCTGACCAGCTGGGTGACTTGGGAATGTTTTTCAATATTGCTGGTCTTTCCTTGTCCTCAGCTATCAAATCAAGGTTATATTACCAAACTCACCAGGCTGGGAGAAAGAGTAAATGAGATAATGTTTGTAAAGTTCAGAGCACAATGCTTCACACCTAGAGGTTTAAGAAGTCACTTTATTACTGTTGTTAGGCAAATTCCTATTCGCCTATTAGAAGACTTGTTACCTATTCTTACCCTGGCGACCTGCTAGATGCTTTCTATTGTATTGTGCATATTCCAGTATTACAACCCTTATTATAATGTCTTATATTTATTTATTTGCATGTCTCTCTCCACAAATAGACTGTACATTATTTGTGGAATGGATGAATGGATGGGATAGACAGAAGAGAAATAGAAAGACGAATAGAGGCCCCAGCAGAGTAAAAACTCCTCATATCAAGTAGTCAGCTAAAATAGACTTTTGGAGCAGGGGACTCCCAGCTGAATAAGATCTGACACTTGAAGGCAGCAAGGAAGTTAGGGATGGAAATCAATGTCCTAAGTAGGCAACCTTGGAAATGTTTTCCCCACGTTCTCTCTTGCTCCTTGTTCCATTTTGTTCTCTAGACAACAACCAGGGGGATTTTGAGGGGCGGGGGTTGTTGTTTTTTAGTACAAGCAAATTCTATGTCTCAAACACTGAGTACAAATTTTCAGCCGATCACCAGCTCTCCTGGCCACTTCATGATCTGGTTCTTGTGATCCTTCCAATTCACCGCTTTGTCACTGTCCCCTTCACTCACTGGGCCCTAGCCATCCTGCCTCCTTCCTGTTCCTCAGATGAGCGAAACTCTTGCTTGCCTCTGGACTGCCACACTTACTGCTCTCTCTACATAAAATGTCCTTCCCCACCCTCCTCCCTTGGCTGGCTCTTCCTTGACATGTAGGTCTCAGCTTAAATGTCGCCTACCCAAAGCGGTGAGATTTCCCTAATTATCCTAAGTGGGCTCCATTTTACTCATCACGTTTCCCTGTGTCTTCCCCTCCTACCACTCACTACAATCTGTCATTAACTTATTCTTTTTTTTATTATGCATCTGCACAAGCACAGGGCCCTCGATCCGTCATGCTCACTGCTGCATCCCCAGAGCCTAGAACCATGCCCAGCACCATAGAAAGCTTTGACTAAATATTTGTTAAATAAATTAATCCAAAAAGGGCAGAACTGGATTAAACTGCATCACCGCATCCGAAAAGTGATAGCTGTTCCAGAAGGAAAACTGTGAGTTAGGACAGAACCAAGCTGAATGGGCCACTGCCTAAGCCGACAGACATGGGAAGTCGCCTCTCCTGCCTGACGGGACACCTCTGCACATGCCCACGTGCAGCGCAGTCCCGCTGTGGCCCGGCTTACGCCACAAAACCAAAGGCCTGCCAAGGGGATGTTCAGATAGCACAATAGATATGGAAAGAGAAAGCAATCTTGTAACTATCTCTCTGGTCATAAATCTTAATGCCATAGGTTCTCGCCTAACCAAAATGTATAGGAGCATATGCCACCTACGTATTTAGAAAGAGAAAATAAAGCAGGGTGGTATTAGTCCTGCTTGCCTATACTGGGTGCTGTCAGGAGCCAGAATTCAAAAGAAGTGCACGCCCAGACTTTGAGATCCTCAGTCCCTTGGATTCTTCTCAGAATAAAAGTTCTTAAAAGGACAGGTCAGTAATGACTGAAACACCTAGTGAATTATATTTTCGTACATCCTCTGTATCTCTATGAAATAACTATGGCATTTTTAGTGTGAACAGAAGATCTATCCATATAAATTATTCCCCCCCAAAATCTGACTCCCTGACTATCAAACAGGGTGGGAAAGACCAACCAGATGACAGAAGGGAGGGAAAGCTGGTGTAATTGGGATACTGAGAGCAGTATTGGGTACTTTATAGAATCATGGCCTTTGAAAAAGGCCCAGGAGGCTGAGTCAGATGTCATTGTTAATAGATTGGTTTAAAAAAAAAAAAAAGGAATAATTGGCCATAACACTTGTGGTACACTGTAACTTTTTATTCAGTTAAAAGTTCAAACTGGCTCTGTATTATTGGGCTGATGGTCAGTTTGAGGCCAAGGAGGGACTTTAATTTGGCAGCAAATATGGGGGTGCTTGTGCTGAAAGTTTAGGGACATAGTAAGGAAGTGTCAAGTCTAGGGGCAATTGTCTGGCTGGTATAGCAGTCACAGTTGCATTGTGGGACAGGAAGCCTAAATGACCTGAAGGGATATGGGGCAGGGGTGATGCTGGTATAGTCTAATTCATGTACTTCTGAAAGTGATCTTGGGAAAATTTTTACTGTAGTTCAGAGAGCCAAGGCCAGAGACATCAAAGAACAGAGCAGCAAATGAAAGCCTAACGTATTTGTGTTCATGACCTACGATGCTACAGCCTAGTAAATAATGTCTGTTCTGTGTACTGCCCTGACCTCCAGGAGAAGCAGAAAAAAGAGTTTTGAGACAAGAGATTCAGGGACTCTGGAAATGAAAGGCGATAGACTCTCCCAGTCCTTCTCCCATAAATGAGAAAGGAGAGATCTTTATAAAAGGAGAGTTTTATTACATAATTGGTAGGCTTTCGCAGTAAAGTACTAAAGAGCTAAACCAACTGAAGCCCGAGAAATACTGTTACCCAGGGGTCCCTAAGAACATGGGCCCTGAGAGCGGACAGGCTGTGGGCCCACTTCTGAGGGAACCACACTCCCCAACCACTTCACATGGCGTGTGACCGCATCTAGACAGATTGCGCTCTTCTCTGGCCGACTCCCCTGCCCCTCCATCCCCATCACCCATTAGAATGCAGCATTACAAACAGTAGGGCGCTTTCCGGAACTTCACTCTCCGGAATTTTGCTTCTAGATCTCAGAACGGTGCCTCAGACACCACTTGCCAAAGTCTCTTTCAATTTGTGTTACATCCATAGCTTCGGTCTCATTATCATCTTCACGTCAGAAATAAGGTGAGAATGTCTTAGTACCAAATTGCCCTTTGTGGTACAAAGGATAAATAAGCAGCCTTGAAAATAAGGTTTGAAACTGGGAAAATCGTTGGTAGAATAACATTCAGCCTTTTAACCCCTTCACAATCTTATAAATCAGATTTTTTTCATGCTCTGATTATCTTGCTCACTAGTGAACATGTTGTATTGTAAAATTCTCCAATTTTCTCTGTAGTAACTACACTTGTAGGGGACTTTTAAGTAGGCATGATGGCCAGGTTGTCTTTTCAGCCCTGAAATCTCCAGCTGGGGGCTTGATTGAGTCATTCCAGATTGGTTTGGGCTAAGTGATCATCATAATAGCATATGACAGTAAGGCAATTTGGTATGCAGATAATAGAGCTTACGTTACACAAGAATCTAGTATAAATTTTCCCGGTGTATCTCTATCCTGGTGATAACTGTACCCTCTTTTTTTTGTCATGGACACGTGTGTGTGTGCATGTGTGTGTTTTAAATCACTGTTTGTTCTGGACTCAGATAACTAGGTCCAAGATTCCAAGGAAAATGAGCAAAGATATTGTAAAGATAGTGCCAAAAGGCTGATCTCAGAAGGGACTTCTTGGCCCTTGAAAATGTCCTACATTAGAATGCATGATAACGAAGGCAAAGAAATCTTCCCCACTGGAAAGTTTTCAGCAACAGAAGAGAATACTGGGTATCTAAAAGATAAGCTTTGTTTTTCTTTCTTTCTTTCTTTCTTTTTTTTTTTTTCCTTTTCTCCCTGATGAAGAGAATCAGCTTTGAAGCCGATCCAGAATCAGGCTGCCTGGACTTAGATTCTGGCGTCACTGTCCTCAAGATGTTTGGCAAGAGTAAAAACATCTTTGTCTTCCTCTGTTAAACAATATTACCAATATTTTTGGCTTGTCATTGTGAAAATTAAATGATGTAAGGGACTTCTGTTTCCCAATCCAGGATGTAAGGAGCTTAGATGTCTCCATTCCAACCTAACAACAAGTAAAAAAGTTGAACAAACAAAAATTACCAACTCCTTTAGACCCCTCAGAAAAGTGAGGTCACAGGGCAAACCACTGCCCCCCAAACTGGAGAGACAGGCAGGTACAGAGAAATCACAGCTTATCCAGGCAGAAACCTGTGAGTAGAAACCAGAGACCTGAGCTGTAATTCACCCAACTACTGCAGGCTCCTGGGAACCAGTCTAAGGGTTAAAAACTATGGCGGGGGCGGGGATGAGAGGTGGCGGGTGCAGGCATCACAGGAGGCCCCCCCCATAGTGTTGTTTTACCTATAGGAACTCTACCAGGTTCTCACAGTGAGTATCAGAGAAAAATCCCCTGGCATTTCCAGGAGAGGGAGGGGAAAGTAACCATTCTGATATACCCAGAGCACTCTGCCCTTAACAAGGCCTGCCCTCCAGAGAAACCGCTTCAGTAGACCCTAACCTCCTGGAGTTTTATCAGAGCCTGATGTACCTGGGAGGTGGGAGATACTCACCTCTAGCTCCCTGTAGCCACTCTGTCCTACCTAAGGAGGCAGGTGGGGGACTGAGAATCACGGTCAAGTTCACAGTCCAGCAGCACAGCTTCGCCAATTCACCAAAAGCCCAAGACCTAATTACAGGACTATGGAACACTTCTCCCCACACACCTTACTGCCACCTCACCACAGGACTATTTACTGGAGGATTTTTTTCTTTTTGTTTTGTTTTTAACTCAAGTACATGATGCCTGGCTTGAAACAAAAAATTGCAAGGCACACGGAGAGGGCAAATAATAATAATAATAATAATAATAATAATAATACAATGTGAAGGGACAGAACAAGCATCAGAACCAGACTCAGCTATGGTAGTGATGTTGGAATTTTCAGACCAAGAATTTAAAACAACTATGATTAATACACTAACGGCTCTAACAGAAAAAGCAGACAACATGCAAGAACAGATGGGCTCTGTAAGCGGAGATGTGGAATGTCTAAGAAAGAATCCAAAAAGAAATGCTAGAGATCAAAACACTCTAACAGAAATAAAGAATGCCCTTGATGGGCTCATTGGTGGACTGGAATTAGCTGAGGAAAGAATCTCCGAGCTTGAATGCTGGGAAACACCCAGCCTAGTCTCAGGAGCTGTAACCCTGCCAACAGGCTGGAGGGCCCCAAGGCTGGAAATAATCAGGAGGCCTTGGAGAAACAGGCTCCTGAGGTGACTTGACTTGTTCCCCTGCCTCTCTGCTTTGCCTTGTGATGGACCTTGCCAAGGACGGGTAAGACCCATGGGGAAAGGGCAACCTAAGACAGGCCTTGGCCGATAGGGGCAGCAGATAAGAAATTGGGAAACACGGAGAAGGTGCAAAACGGCCCCCACACCTCTTGCCTTGGCTTGGCTTGGCTTGGATACGGCCAGAGTCCTCATTGCAGCCCAGAAGCAGTCTCCTTATCCCTTGGTGGTTCCCTCCCCCTGCCTGGCTAACAGTGCAAGAAGAACAGCCCTAGATTAGATCTGGCGGTTGCCAGGGTAATCAGGCCTAAAAGTAAATTCTTCAGAGTGTGCTCTGTTCCTCCCTCAGATCTCTGGTCAGCTCATGCTGCGAAGGGCCTTCACATTATTTGCACCCCTTGCCCTTTATCATTAAGGCTCTTGCCCTTGTTTTCATTCTCTTTTGCTTAGACTGCTCTCCTTTCGGACCCATGCAAATCAGTAAACTCCTGTCACTTGTTTTCTTAAAGGTATCTGTTTTCTGTGAAACTTAATATGCTAATGTAAATGTATGCATTCCTGTTGTCTAGTCCACTGATAAGTTTTTCAATAAAAGCCTTGGAACAAAGGGCAACGGGGCCTTCCCCATTAGAGGGATGTGCCGCGGCCTTCTCCAGTGGGAGGGAAGGGCCCCGTCTGCTCTCCCGGCAAACAGAGAAGTGTTTGCGGCATTTTGTGTTTATTCCCCTTCATCCGTGACAACCTCAGGACGGGGCTCTGCGGGTTTCAGAGCCCTGCTCCCTCTTCAGCTGGCCCCAGCCGGTTTCCTTCAGGTTTCCCGGAGCCCTGCGCTCTCTGAGGCACTCCCCGGCCAGGGCACGCCCCTATAGGCGCCACGCAGTGCAACATTTTGGCGCCCGGAGCACAGACGTCCCCTGTTCAACCATCAGAATTCCCTGGCCAGCGGCTGTTGGTGCAATGCCTGTCACACCGGCTGGATTGGAAGAGGCCTCGTCCCTAGGTAAGGGAATCAGCGGCACCATCCCTGCATGCATGGAGCTGCGGGTGTGTGTAGGTAAGCTCTCCTTGAAGGAGAGCAGGTGCCTGTTCAGTAGAGTAGGTTTAGTTTATTTAGACTTTCTGTCCTGTGTTTTCCCCTTCCCCTTTTAGCATCTGAAAGTTTCAATCTGAACTCAAAAGAAGAAGAAAGAGAGAAACCCTCCTTGCAGACTTGCTTTCTCTCCCTTGAGTCAGCCGCATTTCGGGCCAGGTCTAGCACTTAAATGCCAATAGGGCGCTCGCCGGTATAAAGACTCCCGGGAAAGGATAAGCTGGACGTGGACCCAGACAGGACACTAGGTCTCCCGCCAGCCAGAAGACAAAGTCCACGCAACAAGAGGCACACGGTCAAAGCGTTCACAGTCCCAACCCTGCGACACATTCCCATCTAGGTTTTAACTCTCAAGACGAGAAAGCAAGACTCTAGCTTGGAGTGAAAAGTGCAGTTTTTCCGGATTCTTTCTCTCCT